GGGGGGCTCATTGTAGTATAGTCATGATCCCTGCAAATGATAGGGCGTGTGAAGGGGCGTGAATTGGAGCGCAACCAGCAGTCGCAACCACCAATCGTTGCATTGTTGCGGACTCAGGATGGCGCCTTGGCAGCCGTCCAATCCATGTCCCGTCACACGCCCTGTCGCTTGCAGGGATCATGACATATCATGACATAACACGATCATGACATTACATACCTGCCATGTGAAAAAAATATAGTAACCACAACTAAGTGTACAGTAAATAAGCAGTATTATTGCGTGAGTAAAATATGATTTGGAAAGAAGATGATCACGTAGTAGCGAGTGAATCACGAAGAATGCTGCTGAAATGTGCACTCAAATCTGTATTCGGGTACTATTATAACTTTTCCCGGATTATGTTTAGTATACGCCATGCTTTCGAGCTACATCCAGAAAAGTGTCAATATTTTGAAGACGGAGTTGGCTACTGGCACTCGTGAGTAGTCGGGTCCACAAAAGGGTACAGCATTGGGATGGGAAGACTGGCGGTATGGCATCACATTCTTCCCAAAATTCCTTCCTCTGTTACGAGTCCCCTTTTCCCCATCCTTCAGATCAATTTCCTCAATTTTATCAACTTCCTGCCACTTTCCCAGTTTTTCGCAAACTTTTTCAATTTTTCTTACTTCTTAGCCAATCACAGATGTATGTAGCAAGTCACGGTATTCTTGCGGCGCCGCGAACTAGTAGGGAGGGGAGGGGTGGAACTGTGACACAACCGCGAAAAGTCAAACCAAAAAATTTGTCTATCCTGCTCGAGAAAATATCGATACGACCCACCCCCCCCGCGACCAAACAAGCTCCCCTCCCGTGATGGGATTCTTCACAGTGCTGCAAACTGGTCCAGAAACATAAGGTGAGGTGGTCGATGGGTTATTAATGAATCAAGCAAAACAAACGGCCATAACGCTTGGAATAAGGCCCCTGTTGGCTCTAAATATACAAGAATGCTGCGAAGGGAAATGGGCATGGGGAAAAAGAAACAGACGACGATATAGCGAGAGAGTATGCAGACGATCGAGACCCCACCGTTACATAGTGATGGTAAAACGAAATGATAGGGGGTGGAGAGCTCTTGAGTGGGCGTGGAGTGCATGCCGTGAAACGTCCAAAGGTCTTAATTATTCGAGGTATACCTACCAAATGAGTAGGACCAATTAATCATGTATGATCCACCAAAGTAGAGCAGTAACACATATGTGAATACTCTGTGAGTTGTTATGAAAAATTCAGGAATAGTGGCTGCGGAGAACGCCAGGCCTAAACACTCAGTATCGATGCTTTCAGAGGCGTAGTATATGCTGACCATGTGGGCGGAGATGGTCAACCACTGCGCCCTCAATTGGTGCGACCCTCTTTATTACTTTGGAAGGAGGGGAGCGTCAATGGGGAAAGCACAGTGGTTCTCTGTCTCCACGCTTTTTATTAGCGTGGACAGTGCCGACGACTTTTCAAGTTTAAACCATTGTGGATTTCCGCCTAGAAAAAATACAAAAATATACTTCTACCTTGCTTGTTAACCGAAAAGCTGAGAAGTGAGCTGGGGCTGGCCTCGTGCAATAGTGAGAGAATGGTTACAATGGAGAATACCGACATAAAACATGACATGTAATTGCACCAGAACGCTATCCACGTGATCTGAAATTAATATTAGGGTCCCGCAAAATTCT